CAGCACATCTAGCTGTCCACAGGTTTTTGACATTGTCAATTCTGCCCTATTGCCATAGGATCAGCAGATGACCAAATAACGTAGCTAAAAGCAATTTACTACTTAAGTTTATGGCCCCTTTGTCTCTAAAGTTCGTTTTTTCTTTCTCTGTCTTCATGGTCTATGTTTTCTTCTTCAGTCCACGGGGAGGACATGATCCTTTAAAAGCTTCAATATTTCTTTTGCTCTTCCCTGTATTTGGACACATTTTTAGTCTGAGACTTAGACACACACACATGCATACATGCACCCCTTAAAACCTATCTTTAATATTTAGCATATACATACATAGTACATCTTTAATATTTAGTATATACAGCTAACATTTAGTATATACCAATATTTCTTTGGTATTGCCCTTTCTCTTTCATTTACCTCCAAACTCACTTACAGAATAAGTTTACACTCTCTGCTCCTGATTCCCCCTTTCCTCAAGGCCTTAATAACTCTGCCCACATCTCTCGCATGAAACTGAACTTTTGAAGGTAGCCAACGTCATCGTTTTCTCTGAAGTCAATGAACTTTCTCAGTCGCCTTTCAGCAGCAGTGGAAATTGGTCACCGTTATTTCTATGTCTTGCCATCATCTCCTGTCCTCCTTTTCCTACATTCCAAATGTGCAGATTCCCCAAGGGTTTGAAATTAACTTTCTTCTCTCCTTTTGTACATTCACTCAGAGCCTTCGTGACCTTATCCACCTCTTGGGTACTGTCTCCTTTCTGTAAATGACTCCTACAGCATTATCCCTAACTGCGGCCTTTCCCCCAAATGCCCACTTGGCAGGCATGTCCCACAGAAAATTAGAACATCCTACCTCTCACTCAGAACCTCCTTGGTGTAAACATAACACTTCCTTCTTGGAATAAACACACCCCTCTCTACCCACCCTACTTCTGTTTAGGGTATTCCCTACCCACCCAAGTCACATAAGTTCAAAATTTTAGAACACCCATTGTGCCAACTAATTTTCCTATTCACATGCTATCAAATAATTTGCTTGTTTCCCCTGCATGACCTTCCCCATTCCACCGTGTTTCTGTGTTTTAGGATCTATGACTCTACACCTTCTAGGATCAACCCAGCTGGAAGTAAATTCTCTCTCTTGTGCATTTTTCTAGCACCTAGTTTAAAACCCACACAAAGCACTTACTATATCGTATTATTCAGGGCCCCGAAGTGTGAGGGTCAGGACCCATGTGCTTTTCCTCCACTCCCTACCCACACGAGACAGTACATTTCTCAAGGTCGGGGTTAATTTTTCATAACTTTGAAATCCTGTTGCATTTGGCACAGAGTCTTACACAAAGCTGGAACTTGATTAAAAAAAATAAGTCGAATGAATGCAGACTAAAACAATTACATCTAGAAAAATACAAGCTATGTAAATCTGATCATTAGTAATTACTCCCTTTGACTCCAGAGTTTACTAAAAGTGGGTGACTCTGTACTATGCAAGTTCCCCATTCTTTATATTTAAAACTCCATAAGTTAATGCAGAATTTGGCTTAATTCTCACAGGAAGAACAAAACCGTTTCATGTAAATGTTCCCTCCAATCCTCAGGGGCCAGCATTTGTTGATGTGCATAAGTGAGAAAGAAGACAGAGGACAGTGTTGTGTTTTGAAAGTAACCTCCACAGAAAGATAAATTTTCTTAAAAAAAAAAAAAAAGAACTATAAATGGAAAAACTTAAAATGGCAATTTTGGTAAAAATTTTTCCCATTATAGAGATATATTTAAATATAATATGAGGCTTAATTTTAGAGCAACCCCTTAAATCAAATAAATAGGACTAAAATTTTTAATGGTGCCATTTTTATAATAAATATATTTCTCTGACAATGTACTGAATATTCCTGATGAAGAGACAAAATCAGAATCTAAAACTTAAAATTATATGTTCCTGCTAATTTAGACTTTTTTCATTATTTCTGGATTTGATCACCGGAATTCTTTGTATATAAAATAATCCAAAAGGTAAATTAATAATTTAAGAAAATTTTATAGAAAAATATGGCTTTTGTAGAATTAAAAAAAATAAAGAAATTCATTATGAGACATACTGAAGAAATGAAAGAGGTATTTTATTAAGCGAGAAATATATCCCACAGATGGCCAACAATCTTTAAAATGTAATGATAAGTGGTGTGCACAAGAATTACAACCACAGATTTTACTTTGTATAGTCATGATCTGACACAAGCATTCCTAAAACATCCACAGAGGCCCCCACATACAACTACTGATTGTTGTAGTTGGACATTTAGACAATGGAAAGAAATGCTTTGTGAAAAATAAGAGTAAGAGTAGATTATCATGTTGACAACAAAAATAGAAAAGATAGTGAAACTACTTAAATATGGAATGGGAATTGAGATCTGTTTTACTATGTTCTCATATAAGCAGGCAACTGAAATTTATTAAGTTAAAGCATAGAAATGACAATGCTTTTATGACAAAATGAATGAACAGCTAGCTATGAGCAAGAGAAATGTTAGATGGATGCTTTAATTTAGATCAGATGTTGACTGCTAATAAATCACTACATGTGCTATTGTTAAAAGAGATCTCTTCATTGCAGAGTAAAAATATATTGTATTTTATCAGTCTTGCCTTGGTGGCATCTTGCATACCTAGGTTACATACAGAAAACCAAAACACAATTCTTAAAGCACAGGGAAAGACCACATCTGTAGATCCATCAACTGTAACATCATTTACTTACTGTTAAATATAAACTTTGTATTCCCTCCAAGTCCATAAAATAATTTATTATTACCAGATAAGGGAAGTATCATTTGAATAAATGCATTTTTCAAAAGCAGTCTGTACCACATTTATGAAGAAACTTCTGGGAGCTTCAGAAAAAAAAAAAACGGCTTTGAGTAGGAGATTAAATATTGATTTTATGATTTGGCTAGTCATTTAAAATAAACAATCTCATAAATCAGGCTTAAATCCTGTGGTTCCTCGGTATCTTTTAAATTTTTTAGGTCAGGTCAAATAGCTCAGATAGCTTTCTCACTAATCCATTATAATATGCTGAAGAAGACCTTTTGATCAACCGCTTAACAAAAATAAAAATGACACTCAAGTGACATAATTAATAAAGGTTGCACTTAACATCATCATTTATTATGTATGTTAAGAACATTATATTAGTCAATGTAAAGGAAGAAAACAAAAAAGCCAGAAAAATAGAAAACCTGATTCCTGTCTTCAATTAAATGATAATAAGTTTAAATCCTCAAATTTAACCCTTTTTTGAGAAGTGTTACACAAAGATACCAAACTTGGGCATTTACAAAGCTGTGCATTCTGCATACCACCCCCAGCACTTCCCAACTGCCCTTTCCTGCTCCACTTTTCTCCACAGCACTTATCACTGTCTGACATGCCACATACTCATCTGCTTCTGCCCCATCTCCTCAGGCTACATTGTAAGCTCCCAACAGGCAGGGACTCTTGTCAATTTTGCTCACTGCTGAGTATCCAGTGCCTGGAATGGTGCTTGGCACTCAATAGGACCTCGGTAAATATTCACTGAATGAGAGGACCATTCTAATTTTGGTTTCCTAGACTTCTGGCCTGCATTTCCTCTCTAAGTATAAGTGCATTTTTCCATCAAGCTTTCCCTATGCACATAGCAGCTTAGGTTCCAACGTGATTCCACTTATTAGGTGTGATACTGGGTGAATTTCTCTGGGCTTCAGCAGAATGGGGATAAAGGAATGACCTGTGGGTTTGTTGAGAGAAATGAATGAGGGAATTCACATGAAGCACTTAGCACAATGCCTGACACATAACAAATGTTCAATAAATTTTAGCTACTATCATTCCTACCATTACAACTATTCAATTATTTTCTTCTGTTACAAACAGCTCACCAATTCTTAAAAGTACCTCATAATTAATGAAACGAAGGGCATTTAGATTCAGGGCTAAGTTTACATGCGGTCGAATCTCCTGAAAAAAACCTACTTCCTGTGCAGGTTGCTTTCAAGAAGCATTACTCCTCTTTTCTACTCCCACAGCACTGTATATACCTCTACAGGAATTGCCACACTGGGTCTTTCAATCAGGTGATTATGTTCAGTCTTCCCTGCTACACTGTGTGGTCTTTTAGGGTATGAAATCTTAGTATCCTATCACAAAGCAGGCACTCTATAGATACTTGTTTGCCCAATAGGTGAGTTACTGTACAGGAATGAGACTGATTCCATTTGTAGTCACATCACACATGCACTTTCATTACAAAATTACATTTCTCAATAGATGGTGTAGATCCAGAAAGCAGGGTAGAGGTCTTAGTGTCAGAAAGTGAGGCGGAGCGGAGTGTGTATGAGAATAAAAGTAATGGAATGGAATTCAGCGATGTGCTGCGAATAAGAAGTGCTTAGAAGACCGATACAAAACCCATTCTTATTTTCTCATAAATGGCTCCTCTATTTCAATAGTAATGACCTAATTTATATCCATCTTACTTTGTGGAAGTGTGACTACCCAGGGAAAAATTCTAATAAAAACATACTTGATAAAGTTGAAAAGCACAGTTATTAGAAATGAGGATTGTGGAATACGAAAAAGGCACACAGCTCGAGGTCTGACTATATGTAAGAAAAATCTAAAAATACTTAGGAGGTTAGGAAGTCCTCAGATATTTAACACCACAGTAAACAAACTTTTAAGGAACTAATTTAAAAGTCTTCCAAATACAAAGTATTTAGAAATGCTAAAAATTTATGATGCTTTATGCAGGGTAGAAAACAGAAATTTATACCTCTGGGAAAAGAAAGAAGCTTGAGATTGGCAGATTTTTATTGTTGAACTAGCCATTTGGTTGGTACTCAGAATAAAGGATCAGGGAGAAAAAACCCAGCAACAAGAGGCTTCTAGTCTAGAAGTATCACATGCTGTGATTCTGTTCCCTTGGGTAACGTTTCTCATCAGGAAAGTACTTACATTAGGCCTCAGCCTGGCTGCCAGATCATAATACTTCTCGGCTGCTTCATTGAGGCTAGCCTGTCTGTTAAAGAAAAAAAGAAAATCAAACCGTATCATTTAAAATTGCAGATAACTGAACAGAATCATCATGCAGCAAAATATTAATTTTTAAAAAATTACAATCACACTCAAATAATAAGGTGCTTAAGCAGGAAAATACCATGAAAAAATGAATGCATGTAATGTATTTGTCACTGTCTTTAAAGCACTGCAAATAGTATCTCAACACAATCTTATTCAGTCAGTATTATTATTTTAAATTTACATATTGGGAATTAGAAATGTTATTTTCTTTTTCCAAGCTAGCCCAGATACTATGTTACAGAGCAGGGATTCTATAGCTTCAACATGATATCTTAAAAAGAAAAATCTTAATTTTAAAAAATAACTTGTTGAAATTAATGAGTTGCTTGCTTTATACAAATTGTCAATATTTGCAGGTTTTTTTTAAAAAAAAATTCTGTATTTATCTAGAAAGCCACTTTCCAATTCATGAGGAGAACCTTTCATTGTATATAGCAAAAAAAGGGGGGGAGGCCAGCTTCTCCTCTGTCCTCGGAGGCTAACTGGATGAAAGACTTTCATTTCTGAGCGAGTGACAGAAAGATGAAGGGATGGCTAGAGCTCACTGACAATGGTGGAAGCGATGGGGCTATGTCCCGATTGGATATTCTGCTTCTTGATCTCTGGGGCTACCTTGTCTCCTTCTAATTCATGCTATGCTTTTTAGCCCATGGAGAATTCTGTTATTCCTACAGCCTTCAGATTGCGAGAGTCAGTTTCTCCTGATGACCAACAAATAACACGAGTGGCACAGTTGACTTCTACAAACAAGACGAATGCTGAATTTTATACATGTTTATGCATTGTCTGTTCTTACAATTCATGGCAAACCCCTGCATGCAGCCAAGTGGTTAGCAGAATAAATAAAATGACAGCATCCCGAGGAAGCCCAGCCAATTAGCCATCAAAACAGCATGTTTTTCAATCATGCCATGCTACTTCAGAAAACCTTCCAAGATGATAGATTGTAAGAGCTAGGAGCTCTTGCAGGCTGTGCTGTAACCTGGTGACCATATTTGAGGGGCACGAAACAAGTGCTCTAGAAAAATATCAATTTGACTTCAGGTGATGTGAACACAGCAGTAAATGGGTTCAAGTGCGGCAGGTAAAACGGAGCAGTGTTCTCTCAAAACTGTTATGTTGAGAAGCTTTTGAGATAAGAAGACGGCAGAGTCAGGAATAAAGAGGAGGAACGAAAATTAACTTTCTCAGTGACAAAACCACATTCGGGTTTTAAAAGAGAAGGCTAACTAGTCATACCTATAAAATTGAATTTGCACTTTGGTCAAGCCAAATAAAAACTATAAAGACATACCCCATGCAACCATATAAATTATAGGAATAACTGAAGATAACATGTCTCTGGAGACAAGGACATATTTTTCTAATTTTTAAAGGAAAAATAATTAGAAACACTGCTATTTTTAATGCGGTTGTAGAGAAAGTAAAAACCCTTGACCTAAGGCTCTACTGGACTCATGACATGTTACAATGTGCTGTTGCAATTTATAGTCTCATAAATGTTGAAGTTCAATTTCAATACGTCAAGCAAAGTACTTCAGTATAGTAGGAAAGACTAAAATTTCCCTCGCTAGGGTATTTAATGAAAGTTCCCTCCACCAAATTATAGAATCACTTTGGTTCAGATTCACTTGGAAATCTGAACCAGAATTCATTAGGTCATGCCCTGGAAGGGTTTTCTCCAGGGGAAAATAAAAGGCATGGAGGTAGGAAATTAGAGTAACCTAATACTACAAAGAAGTAATTTACTTTGAAGAAAAATCAACCCATGTATGTTTAACATCGAAGGCAGAGCTACCAATTATTTTCACCTTTATGAACATTCAAATTCACGAGGTAAATTACGATCAAAAGAGAAACTGAGGCCCGGCCAGGCATGGCTCAGGGGTTGAGCGTCGACCTAGGATCCAGGCGATGGGGGTTCGATTCCCGGTCAGGGCACATGCCCGGGTTGTGGGCTTGATCCCCAGTTGGGGGCGTGCAGGAGGCGGCCGATCAATGACTCTCTCATCATTCATGTTTCTCTCTCTCCCTCTCTGCTCCCTTCCTCTCTGAAATCAATAAAGATATATTAAAAAAANTCCCCAGTTGGGGGCGTGCAGGAGGCGGCTGATCAATGACTCTCTCATCACTCATGTTTCTCTCTCTCCCTCTCTGCTCCCTTCCTCTCTCTGAAATCAATAAAGATATATTAAAAAAAAGAGAGAGAGAGAGAAACTGAGGAACTCACTAGATGAAGTGCCCTTAAGATAATAACCAACACAAGTGAAAAAAGGTTTCCCTCCCCCAAAATACGGTTATTAGTTTTTAAAGTCTTTATTGTCTTTAAAGTCTTTAAAGTCTTTATTGATTTAATTCCCAAAGGACATATCTAGTTTAAAAGATTTAGTTTCTGAAGCTAGAAGTAGAATTGATGATATGCCAATGAAATAGAAAAAGAAAGAAAAAAGAATTCNAGAAGTAGAATTGATGATATGCCAATGAAATAGAAAAAGAAAGAAAAAAGTAGAATTTATTAGGTCTGTCATCTAACTGTGAAAATTAATTTTCGCTCTAGGACTTTGCTTTTAATATTAAATGGTTTTCATTGACTACTAGTCAGCAGGCATTTATGACAACACATGGCAAACTGCAGGGAAAAGAGTATGTCAGTTCTATAAATGTACGTTTGTATCCTGGTTTCATTCTCTGGACAAGAGAGAGAACGCATGAGGAACCGTCAAGGTCAACTTTATCGTGTGTATTTCACACCTCCCTCTACAACAAGTATCCTAGAAGTGCTTAAATCTTAATTGCAAAGATGATGGAATTATTAACTGACATCTGAAAACTGAGGAAATCAGCAATATTCTGCCGGTTGCTTAGAGGATTCTAAGGACTCCTGATTGTCAAGAACCTCAACCGCTGGATTGTGAGACAATGACTGGAGGACTACTGGGATCAAAGTATTTCACAAAAGGTGATAAAATATACTTTTCCTGAAAACTAATTTCATTCCTTTCTTTACTATTTCTTTTCTGGAACAGAAATTTTATAAATTTGCTAAATATTTACACATCATTTTAATTACAAGTGATTAAAATGAGGCTCAGAGAAGTTGATAACTTCCCCCAGGTTATGCAGCTGCTAAGTGGCTGGGCTGGGTGGGAGTCAAGGCCTCCACACTAACTGTCTGAACCCCAAGCACAGGCTGGTGTCTTTAGACACATCAAGACGCAGCACAACGGTATGTGGCATGTGGCATGTGGCTCTGTGGCAGATGACCAGGACGATTCCTATATCAAATACTAAGAGAGGAAGAAAACATGCTTTTTGATTATTATGTTAAAAAGTTATGACTTAGAGATGAGATCGGAAAAAGGAAGAATGTGAGGAACACTGGCATCCCAGGTCTTACTTCCTGCCCAACTCCAACTCCCAAATCGAGAGACATGAACCTCACCAGGCAACCTGAGCAGAGTATAGTTTTAAGAACAGAGAGAAGTGTACTGCCCTGTTTTGCCCCATGGACCTCACCCTCTCCCTCAAACAAAGAAGGGTAAGAACTCAGGGGGCAGGCAGAGAAACAGGGAAGGAGGAAACACAAGAACAGTGCTGACTGCTCACTTTCTTAATACCAAGATCTCCCCCTTTTGCAGGGGCTGGGGGTCACCTTCAGATATGGAGGGGATCCATACGTTTCCCACGTGTCCAAGGAGAAGACTTAGAAGGTGGGGGAAGGGGAAAGCAGTTCGCTCTGCCAAGAGATCGCCGGCACCAGATATAGACAAGCTTGTGTTTTAGCCAGGGCACGCTCTGAAAGCCAAGGACAAGATTTTAAGAAAAATCACTTGTACCAAGAAGCTACACTAGATACAGATGAGTGACTACCCCCATCTAACGAGCCACCCTAAGAGTCAACATTATGTCCCGTATCTAGAAAACAAGGATTTAATCATGCCAACAACAGACCCAAATGGAGGCTTCTTTCTTATTTCCAATACCTGACCATCCTAGATATAGGGCCCTCCCCCTTTTCATACTATCTGTAGCCTCTCAGGGCCAGGAGAGGCAAGGAAGGAAAAAAGCCCTAGATGGTATTTACTATGAAGTAAATAGTAAACCTTGAATTCACCTCCAAAATTACTGGAGTGAGCTGATTATATTTTAAGTCTTTAGATTCGGTTTTTCTGCCATCAGTGAAAAGGCAGGCTCACAGTGAAAACATATAGTAACAAAAGTCACAAACAAATGTTATTTTTGATAATTACAGAATTCCATGTTTGCACATGGGACTATGAAACTTACATCTATTAAAAATATAGAAATATAGTTCATATATCTAATTCCCCTCTCTGGTGTTATTTCATAATAGAAAAGTATTTTTTTAAAAAACACAGGTTTATGGCCCAATAGTCTTACAAGAAGAGATGTATAAAAGAAATTTTGGAACCAATTATGTTTTGAAATAGCAACTTAATATACCCGGTGAAATGTTTTAGGAAAATCTGATTAAAAGAATCACTTACAATTACCTACATTTTTATGTATTCCATGAGAATTATAAAATTAAAGCTTGCTAAATTTAAAATTACTTCCTTGAAATATAAAAAATATAAACTGTAGTAGCATTTAGAAGACTCTCTTTAACTACAGTTATTAACAGTTGTGAACTGTTGATTTTGAATTAAAAATTACTTGATATGGATAATAAGCACTGTATAACTCACACAAAAGACAGTATTTTACTATAGTCTTCGCGATTATTTTCAAGTATAACTTATGAACATTTTTTTAAACTAGAGAGCAGTTTGCTCCTATATCATGAAAGTAGAATAAAACAGTAGCTGAGTTTTCCTGGGTTCTTGCCAACTGCTAACCTGACATTTAGCTTTAAGTTACTCAAAGCAGCACTAAATTTTAATTCTAGTTGATAACTTGTACAGTAGAATTACAAGT